TGTTCAACCGCATCACCGACCTGACCGAAGGCGAAAAAATCCAGGCGTACACCGAAGGGTTAAAAATGGAGATTCGGCGGCAGGTGATTGCGGCGAATTACAACAGCTACAGAGACATCGTGCGTGCTGTCGAGCGATACGACGCGCTGACTCGAGGTCAACCCGAAACACGACGCTTCACGTCGAATCGTACATTCGGCACGGAGCGATCGGCACCCCCCACGTTCGCAGAACCGATGGATATCGACAAATACGACGCGAAGCAGCAACCGACAAAATGCGAATTTTGCGGCGCAGCAGGGCATCAGTTTTTGTCGTGCTACAAAATGAAGAAAGCACGTGCGGCACTCCGGGACGGAAACAGTGGAGCACCCCCGAAGTCAAAAAACGGGAATCGCCAGTAGCCGCGGATCGACCTGGCGATCGCGTAAAGATCCGAAAAGCAGGAAAAGGCGACGACGTGGCGATTTTGGAGCGGGCGAAAAAAGGAGAAGATGATGGCGCGAATAAAAAACGTCACGACCGGCCGGCATCAGGGGAAATCGCCGAGGCGAATGGAGGCTCCGCGAAAAAAGACTCTGCACCGACCGGGAAACTCCAGCCGAACACCCACGAAAGTAAGAATTCGTTAAAAGTATCCTATAAAGATACTCTAACGAAGAATATTGCTTCTCGTGGTTTTCAAGCCTTTGAAAAAATCAGGGGAGGTTTAGAGGCTAAGAAAAAGCCTTTAGAAATCATTCAGGTACCTGAGAAGTTGGGCAAAGTACTACGGAGCGTAGAAAAAGGTCGTGCGTTCCGTGGAGTTAATATTCTCTCCCCGCAGCACAGTGTTAAGGCTCCCCGTTGCCCACAGGTGAAGCCTACACAGCTACCAAGGCTTAGAGGAGGCATCCAGGCTCAGGAGAAAATATACAAGCCTCGGAAAAATCCTCCCACCCCCCAGGTGAAGTTGGAAAGTGCTGAGTCGGGTATAGGAAAAAGGGAAGGTATTAAGTTTGATGTACCCTATGATCCTATTAATGAGACCCTCTTTGGCTACTCAGCGCAGCAGAAACCACTACTCCTCGAGGTGTTATGCAATGGACGACGCCTCCAGGCACTGGTGGACAGCGGTGCATCTCACTCGGTGTGTGACCGCGGAGCATTGGAGAAAATTGGAGAGAAGGCGGAGGAGACCCAGTTTTCAGCAACCATGGTGGACTGTACGAAACTTCCTATCCACGGCGAAGCATCACTGCAGCTGCATATAGGTGCGTTGAGGTGGAAGCCGAAGCTACCAGTCACCAACATCAAAGGGTTAGATTTTATCTTGGGGCGAGATTTTCTGAAGCGGTTCAACCCCGAGATCGATTGGATCAACAGCAAGGTGTGCATCTACAACAACGGGAAGCGGATAGCACTACGAAGCTGGACGGATACAGGGGACGTACCTGAGACGACACTGGCACGGTTTGAACAGAAAGTGAACGAGAGTAACACGGGTTACCTAGCACTGGTCATGGCAGCAGCAGAGGAGGAGAAGCCGAGTTCCGAGCTCCCTGCAGCAGTGAAGGAGGTCTTGGAGCAGTACAAAGATATAATGCCCGACGACCTATCTGCAGGCGTACCTCCAGCACGCACCCACGAGCATGAGATCGTGGAGGAACCAGGTGCGAAACCCGTCTCACGTGCACCATACCGACTGAGTCCGACCGAACTAACAGACATGAAGAAACAGATAGAGTATCTACTGGACAGACAACTGATCCGCCCATCCACCTCTCCCTACGGTGCACCAGTTCTCTTCACTCCAAAACCAGACGGCAGCTTACGGATGTGCATCGACTACCGCGCACTGAACAAACAGACAGTTAAAAACAAATACCCCATACCGCGCATCGACGACTTACTGGACCAACTGCGTGGTGCAACAGTCTTCTCGAAGCTGGACCTACGGTCGGGTTAATGGCAGATCAAGATGGCGGACAACTCGATCCACAAGACGGCGTTCCGTACTCGATACGGCTCCTACGAATACTTGGTGATGCCGTTCGGACTCTGCAACGCACCAGCAACGTTCCAGGCGGAAATGAACCATATTCTACGGCCCCTGCTGGACGAGTGCGTAGTGGTGTACCTGGACGATATCCTCATCTACTCCAAGAACATGAAGGAGCACGTGGAGCATCTGCGGAAGGTGTTCGAGATCCCGCGGAAAAACAAGTTCTACGTGAAGCTGTCGAAGAGTGACTTCGCCCTGAAGAAGGTGCAGTTTCTCGGGCACATGGTGAGTGCCGAGGGCGTACACGTGGACCCGCGGAAGATCGAAGCCGTCAAGAAGTGGAAAGTTCCGGAGAACGTGAAGGAGTTGCAGCAGTTCCTAGGATTCGCCAACTACTACAACAGGTTCGTGCCACAGTACGCTAAGATTGCAGCGCCACTGACCGACCTACTGAAAAAGGATACGCCCTTCAAATGGGATACTCCGCATCAGCAAGCCATGGAACAGCTACAGACAGCACTGACCACAGCCCCAGTACTCATCCTACCAGACCCCGAGAAGGACTACGTAGTTGAAGCAGACGCTAGTGACCAGGCAGTCGGAGCAGTACTGATGCAGGATCACGGGAACGGTTTACAGCCTATCGCCTACCTCAGTAAGAAACTGCACGGAGCAGAACTAAACTACCCCATCCACGACAAGGAAGCCCTAGCTATAGTCGTAGCCTTCAAGGCGTGGAGGTGTTACCTCGAGGGAGCCAAGACCACAGTCTATACTGACCACTGCAGCCTCAAATACCTGAAGTCGCAGCCTACGCTCTCACGACGACAGGTACGGTGGGTGGATTTCTTGGAGACCCACTTCCACTACCACATCATCTACAAGCCCGGGCTACACAACAAAGCAGACGCGTTGAGCCGCCCAGGTCATGTAGCAGGCATCCAACTCGACGGGATGAACCCTCTGCTCAAAGGTCTATTCCAACATGGGTACTCCGTGGACGGCGAGATAGCAACGGCAGAGAAACAGAAACTGTTACAGTGGGAGAAAGACCTAGCGGTAAGGAAGGGTTCAGGAAAGATTTGGGTACCGAATTACGCCCCGCTACGGCAGATCCTATTGGAGGAGTTCCACGACGTACCATACGCGGGACATTTCGGGAGCAACAAGACGTTAGCGGGAATAGCGAAGTATTACTACTGGCCCCGGATGGTAGCAGATGTGCAGCAGTTCGTCACCTCCTGCGACACGTGCCAGCGGATGAAGAGCAGCAAGCAGAAGAAAGCAGAGTTACTTCAGCCTCTACCCGTACTGGAGCAGCCATGGCAGGTCGTTAGTCTCGACTTCATCACAGGACGACCCTCGACCTCACGGGGACATGTTTCCATCCTCGTAGTCATCGATAAGTTCTCCAAAATGGGGCACTTCCTACCGACCAACGCCACTGCCACAGCAGAAGCAACTGCTCGCCTCTTCTTCGACCGCATCATCACCATCCACGGCATCCCCGCTACACTCATCTCAGACAGAGACCCAAAATTCACCAGTAAGTTTTGGAAGGAGCTCATGGGATTATTGGGGACTAAACTTGCGATGTCCTCAGCATACCACCCACAGACTGACGGACAGACAGAGCGACTCAATCAAGTGGTTGAACAGTTACTGCGCACAGCTTGCAAGGACGACGTCAGCCACTGGGACACACAGTTACCGACCCTAGAGTTCGCTTACAACAACGCGTCACATGCGGCCACAGGGAAAACTCCTTTCTTCGTGTGTTACGGACGGGAACCACTCACACCACAGCAGCCTACCACACCAGCACACGTCCAAGCCGCACATGACTTCGTCACCACCATGCAGCAGCTATGGGAGAAGACTCAGCGACGACTCACCACGATGCAGACCTCCCAGACGCAGTATGCCGATCGTCAGCGACGTGATCACTCAGTAGCAGTCGGAGATCAGGTGCTTCTTGACACGCGCAACTTGAACCTGTCTCACCTCCCATCCAAACTCCGGCCTCGCTTTTGTGGTCCTTTTCTCGTTGAGGCACAGGTGACACCAGTTACATTCCGCTTGCGCTTACCAGATATGTGGAAGCTTCACAATGCTTTCCATGTGCAGCTACTGAAACCCTACAAGGACCCCAACCAACAGTTCCAGGGACGGCAGCTACCGCCACCTCCACCTGTTCTTGTGCAGGACGAAACCGAGTACGAGATTGAGCGCGTCCTCTCTCATCGGCGCCGCGGCGGCAGGACCCTCGAGTTCCTGATACGCTGGAAGGGATACGACCCCACTGAGGACAGTTGGGTTGCAGAAGCTTATATGGGCAACGCACGCCGTGCTCTCAAGGACTATCTTGTCAAGCAGGGTGTATCTCACGCCACCCAGCTTTGAGGGGGGGACGTGTGAGAGTATGACGGCTTATGCCAGCTATGCTTGCTTGCCTTTACTTTATTATGCTATTTCTAGCATAGGATAATTATATGCATGCATGAATTGCTTGATTTCCTAGGCTAGGTGCTTTCCTATATTTTATTATAGTTATAGCACCGAGCTAGGTTGCGTGCACCGAATTCTGGCTTTTCGGTTGCCACCGAATTGCCTTCTACCAAATTCGGGAAGGATCTGTTCGGGACGCTTCGCGACCCGCGGAACCTTCGCGTAACACCTGGTTACGGGGCCTTGTGTCGAGCCTATATATAGCCTCGTGTTGTACCCAGGTGATCATTCAATTCAATTCAATTCACATTCTCTTTTCTGAGCTCGATCCTAGATCCTCGCATACCGGGCCGAGCACGTTGACTATTTCTTGTATGGTTGTCGTGGGTGCGGTTCCAGTGACATGTAGGGTGCTTGTGACGACTCTGATTTTTCAGCGTGCCCCGCAACCAATCTAGGGGCCTGAGTATGTTCTGCATACATAACACCTATTGAAAGGAAGTTTTTGTACCCTTACTGCATTTACCAGTACACCCTACTAGGGCTTCTTCTATGCAATAGGCAACTCTCATGCCACACCACTTGTGCAGGCAAGCGCGCCTATGCATGCCGTTGGAAGCACAATGGATGCACTACTTTGTGCTGCCGAGCTGGGCGAGCCATGGCAGCAGCGCTTGGTGCACGGCGACCGGCTGGTCGTCGTGGGGGTAGTGGCGGGGACCGTGAGCATGGTGGTGAGGGGGCGCTGCTGCGGCAGGTGCGAGAAGAAGCGCCCCACGGGGCCATCGAGCGGCGTGAAGGGGTCCTGCTCGCCCCACAGCAGTAGCAGCAGTGCCTCGATGCGTGGCAGCAGGTGCTCCGGGCGCGGGCCAGGCGGGCCCGTGAGCACTGCTATGAACACCTGCAGCGCCCCGGGGTCCTCTGCTGGCGCACATATGAGCTGCAGAGGCAGGGGGAGGCAGGGCGAGGGGTGCACAACAGTTAGGTAGCACACGCAGCACGAGTTGTTTCCCTTGCCAAGGCATATGAGATGAGAGGTGGGTGCACGATGCGATGTGTGAATTGGTTGCACTCGCTCCCAGCTCCACCTTCGGATGAATCTGTTGACCCGAGTGGTCCATATTCAGAGCTTGTGGGTTACCTCATGTACCTGATGCCGTGCAGTCAGCCTCCGGGAGACACCACCCTGGGCACTGGCGGGCTGTTGCGAGGGTGCTCCGCTACTTGGCCAGTACATCAGGCATGGGGCTTGTGCTTGGGGGACGGGGCGCAGTTGAGATCACAGGGCACTCAGACGCTTCGTGTGCTGATGACCAAGCGATTTCCTGGTCTTCACAGGCTACACTTCCAGTCTCAGCACTGGCACTGTCTCGTGGAGGTCCACTCGCTCGTCTTCTGTGCTTGGCTCCAGCCGTGAGGCCAAGATCTACGCTGGGGCTATGGCTGCGCGGGATTTACGCTGGTTAACCTACATGCTTACGGACTTGGGTGAGCGGCCTCGTTCTCCTCCAGTTCTTTACGTCGACAACAAGGCCATGATAACCTTGTGTCGGGAGCAGGACTGGAGCAAAGAACGAAGCATATTGCACTTCGATATTTTCTTGTGCTAGAGTTACAGCAGCGTGGTCAGCTTCGCTTTCTTACGAGGCCTCTCAAGCCAACACCGCTGATATTTTCACCAAAACCATTGGGTCTAATGATCATCCATGTTTCTGTACTGCTCTTGGCCTGGTGCCTACCCTGCCTCACTTGCTTACCTCTTGAGCTTGTCTTGCACTTGCTGTATTCTGCTAAATATATTTATACCTGCACGTTTTTACTTGCTAGGTTGTGATAATTTTGTTGCTTTTGTTATTATAATACTGCATGTGAACTGGCCTTGTGGCCTCTTGCTTGTGCTCGGGGATTGAAAATGCGAGATGGGAAGGGAGAGGCATCGAATAGGGAAGGGTGGAAGCTGTGCGTAGGGCAGGGGGAAAACGGTGCTTAGGAGAGGTGGAAACTGCACGTAGGAAAGCGGGGAAACTGTGCCTAGGGAAGGGTTGAAGCCGCTTGTAGGGAAGGGGGGGAAACTGCGCGCATGCGAGGGTTGAAGCTGCACGTAGGGAAGTGGGGAAGCTGCGGGTAGGGAAGGGGGGGAACCGCGCACAGGGAAATGGGGACGCAGCGCAGAGGGTAGAACAGTGTAGGGAAAGGGGAGAGGCGAAGAGGGAAGGAATGCGAGAGACCCAGAGGGACGAGAGGAACCGAAGGGAAGAGAGCGACGGGTGCGACGTGGGTGACGGGAGGGACGGAAGCGACGGGAGGGACGGAAGCGACGGGAGGGACGGGAGGGACGGAAGGGACTGGAGGGATGGAAGGGACGGAAGCGACGGGAGGGACGGGAGGGACGGGAGGGATGGAAGGGACGGGAGGGACGGAAGGGACGGGAGGGACGGAAGGGACGGGAGGGACGGGAGCAACGGGAAGAGGGACGGGAGCCAATGGGATGAGGGACGAGAGGGACATGAGGAGCGGGAGCGACGGGAGGAGCGGGGGCGATGGGAGGAGCGGGGGCGACGGGAGGAGCGGGGGCCACGGGAGGAGCAGGAGCGAGGGGGGAGCGGGAGCGAGGGGGGAGCGGGAGCGAGGGGGGAGCGGGAGCGAGGGGGGAGCGGGAGCAAGGGGGGGCCAGGGTAAGACAGGGACGAAGGGAGGCTGCGTGATTGCTACCGCGGCGGATGGAACGCCACATACCGGGTCGAGTCCGTTGACTATTTCTTATATGGTTGTCGCGCGTGCGGTTCCAATGACGTGTAGGGTGCTTGTGACGACTCTGATTTTTCAGCGTGCCCCACAACCAATCTAGGGGCCTGGGTATGTACTGCGTACATAACACCTAGTGAAAGGAAGTTTTTTTACCCCTACTGCGAGGCATTTACCAGTACACCCTACTAGGGTTTCTTCTATGCAATAGGCAACTCTCATGCCACACCACTTGTGCAGGCAAGCGCGCCTATGCATGCCGTTGGAAGCACAATGGATGCACTACTTCGTGCTGCCGAGCTGGGCGAGCCATGGCAGCAGCGCTTGGTGCACGGCGACCGGCTGGTCGTCGTGGGGGCAATGGCCGCACAGGGGGAGCGTGAGCATGGTGGTGAGGGGGCGCTGCTGCGGCAGGTGCGAGAAGAAGCGCCCCACGGGGCCGTCCAGCGGCGTGAAGGGGTCCTGCTCGCCCCACAGCAGCAGCAGCGGTGCCTCGATGCGTGGCAGCAGGTGCTCCGGGCGCGGGCCAGGCGGGCCCGTGAGCACCGCTGTGAACACGTGCAGCGCCCCGGGGTCCTCTGCTGGCGCACATATGAGCTGCAGAGGCAGGGGGGGGAGGCACGGCGAGGGGTGCACAACAGTTAGGTAGCACACGCAGCACGAGTTGTGTCCCGTGCCTAGGCAGATGAGATGAGAGGTGGGTGCACGATGCGATGTGTGGATCTGTTGACACTATGAACTTCGTGAGGAAGTACCAAAGCATGCATGTCCGCATCACCACCATATTGACCATCACCTGCACCAGCTCGCCATGGCACCACCATCATCATGGCTATCAATGTCAAATTCAGCATCAGCATGACCTGCACGAGCTCAGCATCACCTGCACCATCACCAACACCGACAGCATGAGCATCAGCATCACCTGCACGAGCTCGTCATCGACTGCATCGGGGTTGCTGTACACCGCCCGCAGCACCGATGCCACGTTGTCCCTGCCCACGGGGAGAGAGGGAGGCGGGGGGAAGAGGAAGTGGGGGGAGGGGGGGGTTTGGGGAGAAGAGAGCGAATGGGGACAGACTTGGGATGAGGGACAATACAAGGGGTGATCTGTGAGGGGGAGTGGATGGGAAGTGAAAAGGATGGGCGGCTGGCAAAAGAAGATGGTAAAATGGCAAAGCAGCAGAGGAAGGTTGACCTGGTGCGGACAAGGCTGACCTGGTGCGGACAAGGCTGACCTGGTGCGGACAAGGCTGACCTGGTGCGGACGCGGTTGAAGATGGCAGTGGCTAAGGGAGGGAAGGAGAGAAGCCAGTCGATGAGGAGGAAGAGGGGCAGCGCGAGGCGGATGCGCCAGTCGTCCTGAATGGCCTTGTTGTTCAGCCCGCCCGCACAGTTCAGCAGCACCACCCCCGCCACCTCCTCGCTCGGCAGCGCTGCACACGGCACACAGGGCGGTAGGCGGTGAGGGGTGGTGAGGGGTGAGAGTGGTAAGTGCGAGGACGTACGGCACGGGATGAGGAACAGAAGGCACACGTGAGGTGCTGATGTGGCATGGGATGAGTAACGGAACGCATATTTGAAGTGCTGACGAGCCTCCCACACACCCCACGCACACACATCTGACCTGTGTGTCATCGCCCTGCTTAACTGGCACGGAAAGATTAGGCAACGAGACCTAGCTTGGTGCATCACCAAGGATTATCCTAGCTTGGGTTTGAGAACTCAACCTTGACCAGTAATTTGGCTCCGACAGTTGGGTTGGAAGATTATTGGAGGGAGACTTAATACTTGTGGCTCATCTTTGGCCAACACTGTTGGGAACCCCCAACACTCCAACCCAACCTCTTGGCGGGGGCGAACAGCGAGGGCCAAGACCCCAACCTCTTGGCGGGGGCGAACAGCGATGGCCAAGACCCCAACCTCTTGGCGGGGGCGAACAGCGATGGCCAAGACCCCAACCTCTTGGCGGGGGCGAACAGCGATGGCCAAGACCCCAACCTCTTGGCGGGGGCGAACAGCGATGGCCAAGACCCCAACCTCTTGGCGGGGGCGAACAGCGATGGCCAAGACCCCAACCTCTTGGCGGGGGCGAACAGCGATGGCCAAGACCCCAACCTCTTGGCGGGGGCGAACAGCGATGGCCAAGACCCCAACCTCTTGGCGGGGGCGAACAGCGATGGCCAAGACCCCAACCTCTTGGCGGGGGCGAACAGCGATGGCCAAGACCCCAACCTCTTGGCGGGGGCGAACAGCGATGGCCAAGACCCCAACCTCTTGGCAGGGGCGAACAGCGATGGCCAAGACCCCAACCTCTTGGCGGGGGCGAACAGCGATGGCCAAGACCCCAACCTCTTGGCGGGGGCGAACAGCGATGGCCAAGACCCCAACCTCTTGGCGGGGGCGAACAGCGATGGCCAAGACCCCAACCTCTTGGCGGGGGCGAACAGCGATGGCCAAGACCCCAACCTCTTGGCGGGGGCGAACAGCGATGGCCAAGACCCCAACCTCTTGGCGGGGGCGAACAGCGATGGCCAAGACCCCAACCTCTTGGCGGGGGCGAACAGCGATGGCCAAGACCCCAACCTCTTGGCGGGGGCGAACAGCGATGGCCAAGACCCCAACCTCTTGGCGGGGGCGAACAGCGATGGCCAAGACCCCAACCTCTTGGCGGGGGCAAACAGCGATGGCCAAGACCCCAACCTCTTGGCGGGGGCGAACAGCGATGGCCAAGACCCCAACCTCTTGGCGGGGGCGAACAGCGATGGCCAAGACCCCAAGCTCTTGGCGGGGGCGAACAGCGATGGCCAAGACCCCAACCTCTTGGCGGGGGCGAACAGCGAGGGCCAAGACCCCAACCTCTTGGCGGGGGCGAACAGCGATGGCCAAGACCCCAACCTCTTGGCGGGGGCGAACAGCGATGGCCAAGACCCCAACCTCTTGGCGGGGGCGAACAGCGATGGCCAAGACTCCAACCTCTTGGCGGGGGCGAACAGCGATGGCCAAGACCCCAACCTCTTGGCGGGGGCGAACAGCGATGGCCAAGACCCCAACCTCTTGGCGGGGGCGAACAGCGATGGCCAAGACCCCAACCTCTTGGCGGGGGCGAACAGCGATGGCCAAGACCCCAACCGACCCCCCTTTCTCATTCAACAGTTTGTACCCCCTCCAATGCTATCAAGGCAACTCAGGTTCTTGTATCTCCCAATCCTCGTGTCTGGCGTGCCTCGTCATGCCGCCATCCCCCTCACTACCAATAGCCGTGTCGCTAGCGTGCAGTTGCGCCTCTAGCACCTCCCTCGTCCCTAGACGTTGCAACCTCCCCCCTTCCGCCCACCTCATTCTAGAGCACCCCAACGGCCTTCCTTCCTTCCCCAACGACCCGTCCCCCTCTCCACCCCCTCGTGCTCCGCCTCCCCTGACAGACCCCCCCCCCATAACCCCTGTCCTCCCAGCGTGGGTTCTCCTCGCGTTCCACTGGCCGTGGGAGCACCTTCCAGCCCTCGACTTGCACGACTTCAGCTGCAGCTGCTCTTGATGACAAGGGCCGTTGGGGCAGAGCAAGGAAACCCTAACAAACCTGCAGGGGAGAGGCAGGAGAGGAATGAGGAGAGCAAACCTGCAGCAGCAGTAAGCGCAACGAGGCTGCCGATGGAGTTGCCCACCAGTACCACTCTGCACCGCACCACTTCGGATACGAAATCCTGCAGCATCTGCTAGGAGGACAGGCATGAGACGGCGGGAATGAGACAGCGGGAATGAGACGCGGGTATGAGACGCGGGTATGAGACGGCGGGTATGAGACGGCGGGAATGAGTCGGTGGGTATGAGAGGGGCGGGTATCGGGTATGAGAGGGCGGGTATGAGAGGGCGGGTATGAGAGGGCGGGTATGGGAGGGCGGGTATGGGCGGGCGGGTATGGGAGGGCGGGTACGGGCGGGCGGGTATGGGGGGATGGGGGGGAAAGAATGGTTGGTGAGCATGGGGCAAAAGCATGGGATGGGAGGGCAGGCAAGGGAGTAGCATGCATGCGCGAAGAGCGAGTTGGATTGGAACCAGCCATGCAGCGCCTCACCTGCGCCCCCACGTCACCTGCGCCCCCACGTCACCTGCGCCCCCACGTCACCTGCGCCCACTACTCACCTTCTCCCCCCCTCACCTGCGCCCACTACTCACCTTCTCCCCCCCTCACCTGCCCCCACGCCTCGATGGTGTAGTCCCCGCCTTGCGGCTTGTCAGACGCGCCCAGCCCCAGCAGGTCCAGCGCCACCACCCTCATGCCCGCCCCCGCCACCGCCTCTGCGGTCCTGCCATGGGAAGGGGGTCAAGGCGGGCCAGTGAGCGGAGGGAGAGGGGGAGAAGCGGGGAAGAAGAAGAGGAGGTCGAGTGGAGGAAGGCGGAGATACCAGGAGGATCAATCGCATGGACGCGCCGCCCTCACCTGCACCGCCCCTCACCTGCACCGCCCCTCACCTGCACCGCCCCTCACCTGCACCGCCCCTCACCTGCACCGCCCCTCACCTGCACCGCCCCTCACCTGCACCGCCCCTCACCTGCACCGCCCCTCACCTGCGCCGCCCCTCACCTGCGCCGCCCCTCACCTGCACCGCCCCTCACCTGCACCGCCCCTCACCTGCACCGCCCCTCACCTGCACCGCCCCTCACCTGCACCGCCCCTCACCTGCACCGCCCCTCACCTGCACCGCCCCACCTGCACGCCCCTCACCTGCACCGCCCCTCCACCTGCACCGCCCCTCACCTTGCACCGCCCTCACTGCACCGCCCTCTACCTGCACCGCCCCTCACCTGCACCGCCCCTCACCTGCACCGCCCCTCACCTGCACCGCCCCTCACCTGCACCGCCCCTCACCTGCACCGCCCCTCACCTGCACCGCCCCTCACCTGCACCGCCCCTCACCTGCACCGCCCCTCACCTGCACCGCCCCTCACCTGCACCGCCCCTCACCTGCACCGCCCCTCACCTGCACCGCCCCTCACCTGCACCGCCCCTCACCTGCACCGCCCCTCACCTGCACCGCCCCTCACCTGCACCGCCCCTCACCTGCACCGCCCCTCACCTGCACCGCCCCTCACCTGCACCGCCCCTCACCTGCACCGCCCCTCACCTGCACCGCCCCTCACCTGCACCGCCCCTCACCTGCACCGCCCCTCACCTGCACCGCCCCTCACCTGCACCGCCCCTCACCTGCACCGCCCCTCACCTGCACCGCCCCTCACCTGCACCGCCCCTCACCTGCACCGCCCCTCACCTGCACCGCCCTCACCTGCACCGCCCCTCACCTGCACCGCCCCTCACCTGCACCGCCCCTCACCTGCACCGCCCCTCACCTGCACCGCCCCTCACCTGCACCGCCCCTCACCTGCACCGCCCCTCACCTGCACCGCCCCTCACCTGCACCGCCCCTCACCTGCACCGCCCCTCACCTGCACCGCCCCTCACCTGCACCGCCCCTCACCTGCACCGCCCCTCACCTGCACCGCCCCTCACCTGCACCGCCCCTCACCTGCACCGCCCCTCACCTGCACCGCCCCTCACGCACCGCCCCTCACTGCACCGCCCCTCACCTGCACCGCCCTCACCTGCACCGCCCCTCACCTGCACCGCCCCTCACCTGCACCGCCCCTCACCTGCACCGCCCCTCACCTGCACCGCCCCTCACCTGCACCGCCCCTCACCTGCACCGCCCCTCACCTGCACCGCCCCTCACCTGCACCGCCCCCTCACCTGCACCGCCCCTCACCTGCACCGCCCCGTCACCTGCACCGCCCCTCACCTGCACCGCCCCTCACCTGGCACCGCCCCTCACCTGCACCGCCCCTCACCTGCACCGCCCCTCACCTGCGCCGCCCCTCACCTGCGCCGCCCGCTGCGCCGCCCCTCACCTGCGCCGCCCCTCACCTGCGCCGCCCCTCACCTGCGCCGCCCCTCACCTGCACCGCCCCTCACCTGCACCGCCCCTCACCTGCACCGCCCCTCACCTGCACCGCCCCTCACCTGCACCGCCCCTCACCTGCACCGCCCCTCACCTGCACCGCCCCTCACCTGCACCGCCCCTCACCTGCACCGCCCCTCACCTGCACCGCCCCTCACCTGCACCGCCCCTCACCTGCACCGCCCCTCACCTGCACCGCCCCTCACCTGCACCGCCCCTCACCTGCACCGCCCCTCACCTGCACCGCCCCTCACCTGCACCGCCCCTCACCTGCACCGCCCCTCACCTGCACCGCCCCTCACCTGCACCGCCCCTCACCTGCACCGCCCCTCACCTGCACCGCCCCTCACCTGCACCGCCCCTCACCTGCACCGCCCCTCACCTGCACCGCCCCTCACCTGCACCGCCCCTCACCTGCACCGCCCCTCACCTGCACCGCCCCTCACCTGCCCTGCACCGCCCCTCACCTGCACCGCCCCTCACCTGCACCGCCCCTCACCTGCACCGCCCCTCACCTGCACCGCCCCTCACCTGCACCGCCCCTCACCTGCGCCGCCCCTCACCTGCACCGCCCCTCACCTGCGCCGCCCCTCACCTGCACCGCCCCTCACCTGCGCCGCCCCTCACCTGCACCGCCCCTCACCTGCGCCGCCCCTCACCTGCACCGCCCCTCACCTGCACCGCCCCTCACCTGCGCCGCCCCTCACCTGCGCCGCCCCTCACCTGCACCGCCCCTCACCTGCGCCGCCCCTCACCTGCACCGCCCCTCACCTGCACCGCCCCTCACCTGCACCGCCCCTCACCTGCGCCGCCCCTCACCTGCACCGCCCCTCACCTGCGCCGCCCCTCACCTGCACCGCCCCTCACCTGCACCGCCCCTCACCTGCGCCGCCCCTCACCTGCGCCGCCCCTCACCTGCGCCGCCCCTCACCTGCACCGCCCCTCACCTGCGCCGCCCCTCACCTGCGCCGCCCCTCACCTGCGCCGCCCCTCACCTGCGCCGCCCCTCACCTGCGCCGCCCCTCACCTGCGCCGCCCCTCACCTGCGCCGCCCCTCACCTGCGCCGCCCCTCACCTGCACCGCCCCTCACCTGCACCGCCCCTCACCTGCACCGCCCCTCACCTGCACCGCCCCTCACCTGCACCGCCCCTCACCTGCACCGCCCCTCACCTGCGCCGCCCCTCACCTGCGCCGCCCCTCACCTGCGCCGCCCCTCACCTGCGCCGCCCCTCACCTGCGCCGCCCCTCACCTGCGCCGCCCCTCACCTGCGCCGCCCCTCACCTGCGCCGCCCCTCACCTGCGCCGCCCCTCACCTGCGCCGCCCCTCACCTGCGCCGCCCCTCACCTGCACCGCCCCTCACCTGCACCGCCCCTCACCTGCGCCGCCCCTCACCTGCGCCGCCCCTCACCTGCGCCGCCCCTCACCTGCGCCGCCCCTCACCTGCGCCGCCCCTCACCTGCGCCGCCCCTCACCTGCGCCGCCCCTCACCTGCGCCGCCCCTCACCTGCGCCGCCCCTCACCTGCGCCGCCCCTCACCTGCGCCGCCCCTCACCTGCGCCGCCCCTCACCTGCGCCGCCCCTCACCTGCGCCGCCCCTCACCTGCGCCGCCCCTCACCTGCGCCGCCCCTCACCTGCGCCGCCCCTCACCTGCGCCGCCCCTCACCTGCGCCGCCCCTCACCTGCGCCGCCCCTCACCTGCGCCGCCCCTCACCTGCGCCGCCCCTCACCTGCGCCGCCCCTCACCTGCGCCGCCCCTCACCTGCGCCGCCCCTCACCTGCGCCGCCCCTCACCTGCGCCGCCCCTCACCTGCGCCGCCCCTCACCTGCGCCGCCCCTCACCTGCGCCGCCCCTCACCTGCGCCGCCCCTCACCTGCGCCGCCCCTCACCTGCGCCGCCCCTCACCTGCGCCGCCCCTCACCTGCGCCGCCCCTCACCTGCGCCGCCCCTCACCTGCGCCGCCCCTCACCTGCGCCGCCCCTCACCTGCGCCGCCCCCTCACCTGCGCCGCCCCTCACCTGCGCCGCCCCTCACCTGCGCCGCCCCTCACCTGCGCCGCCCCTCACCTGCGCCGCCCCTCACCTGCGCCGCCCCTCACCTGCGCCGCCCCTCACCTGCGCCGCCCCTCACCTGCGCCGCCCCTCACCTGCGCCGCCCCTCACCTGCGCCGCCCCTCACCTGCGCCGCCCCTCACCTGCGCCGCCCCTCACCTGCGCCGCCCCTCACCTGCGCCGCCCCTCACCTGCGCCGCCCCTCACCTGCGCCGCCCCTCACCTGCGCCGCCCCTCACCTGCGCCGCCCCTCACCTGCGCCGCCCCTCACCTGCGCCGCCCCTCACCTGCGCCGCCCCTCACCTGCGCCGCCCCTCACCTGCGCCGCCCCTCACCTGCGCCGCCCCTCACCTGCGCCGCCCCCTCACCTGCGCCGCCCCCCTCACCTGCGCCGCCCCTCACCTGCGCCGCCCCTCACCTGCGCCGCCCCTCACCTGCGCCGCCCCTCACCTGCGCCGCCCCTCACCTGCGCCGCCCCTCACCTGCGCCGCCCCTCACCTGCGGCCGCCCCTCACCTGCGCCGCCCCTCCACCTGCGCCGCCCCTCACCTGCGCCCGCCACCCCCCTCACCTGCGCCGCCCCTCACCTGCGCCGCCCCCTCACCTGCGCCGCCCCCCCCTCACCTGCGCCGCCCCTCACCTGCGCCGCCCTCACCTGCGCCGCCCCTCACCTGCGCCGCCCTCACCTGCGCCGCCCCACCTGCGGCCGCCCCTCACCTGCGCCGCCCCTCACCTGCGCCGCCCCTCACCTGCGCCGCCCCTCACCTGCGCCGCCCCTCACCTGCGCCGCCCCTCACCTGCGCCGCCCCTCACCTGCGCCGCCCCTCACCTGCGCCGCCCCTCACCTGCGCCGCCCCTCACCTGCGCCGCCCCTCACCTGCGCCGCCCCTCACCTGCGCCGCCCCTCACCTGCGCCGCCCCTCACCTGCGCCGCCCCTCACCTGCGCCGCCCCTCACCTGCGCCGCCCCTCACCTGCGCCGCCCCTCACCTGCGCCGCCCCTCACCTGCGCCGCCCCTCACCTGCGCCGCCCCCTCACCTGCGCCGCCCCTCACCTGCGCCGCCCCTCACCTGCGCCGCCCCTCACCTGCGCCGCCCCTCACCTGCGCCGCCCCCTCACCTGCGCCGCCCCTCACCTGCGCCGCCCCTCACCTGCGCCGCCCCTCACCTGCGCCGCCCCTCACCTGCGCCGCCCCTCACCTGCGCCGCCCCTCACCTGCGCCGCCCCTCACCTGCGCCGCCCCTCACCTGCGCCGCCCCTCACCTGCGCCGCCCCTCACCTGCGCCAGTGCCCCTCACCTTTTTTTTTTTTTTTTTTTTTTTTTTTTGATACGGAAAAGTACACTAAAAGGATAATGTACAAAACGCATCAGGCAGTCGTAACTGTATCTGGAGGGAAGTGCCACAGTAGCATGTACCATAGATTCCCTATATCGAGCCTACGGTGGCCGATTAGTCATCTTCGGATTGTTCCAGACGGAACTGAAGCTGCTCCTCCACATCAGCGGTGCCCCCTTGCTGCATATCTGTCTCATCACCTCCGCCTCGTCTGCTGCCAGGTAACCCCAGTTGTCAACACCGATCGCCACGCCATGCTTCCGTGCTGCCACTTGCCTTGCCAGGCAGTACACCCTGGCGTGCGCGACAAACTTTACCACCGCCAGGCATATCACCTTCTTCGGCTGGAACTTTACATCACGACGGCTTGCGTCACACCTTGCCAACCACACCTGGTGGAGTGTGGTAGCAATAAAGGAGCTTTCCGGAAAGCCGGACTTCGTGCTCCCCTGCATGAAGAGAAGGTCCTCCAAATTCTGCCAGTTCAGCTGCGGGTTCATCTCAGCCAGCCTTTCCGCAAGAACCGGACCACCCTCTGAATCGCCGGGCAGCTGAGCAGGCAGTGCTCCGGTGTCTCCTCTGCTTTGCAGTGTGGGCAAACCACTTTGTCCTTCATAAAGAAAAGCCGCTCCCCCACTTGTAGGTTTCTACAGTGCAGCCTCAACAGGATTTCTCGTGCCCGGGCAGGGGTGGCGAGAGAGTCCCTCTGCCTGATGACCTTCTCCCACTCAATAACCCTACCATCACCGATCCACCTCCGCTGCTCCTTTACGACGCCTGCTGAAGCCAGCCCCTTCCTGATTTCTTTCAGCGGTCGAATCTCTCCGTCCTTGGTTAGCTTAGACTGTAGAAGCTTCGTTCGCGCCTCGCCCATAAGCCCCAGCACCTTATCTCCCTGAGCTGCTACCGGCTCCCCACTGTGCAGCCCGAAGTTTACAGGGTACTTCTCATCCCCGACTGTGAAGGTACCGTCAGCGCTTTCCCGACACATCACCCCCGTCACTCTGCCGCTGTCGGCGCCGCTGACCTTCCAGAGCGTAGGGCGCGCAACGATACTCCTCTGGTACCGCAGCAGCGGAACCTTAGCCGCTATCCCCTCGCTTGTCAACGTTTCCAGCAACATGTCTCTCCATTCGACCGGCGCCGCCATGAAAGCCTTCAGCGCCAATTTCGCCGCTTCAACACTGCTGAGCTCGCTCGCCAGAGTTTCCTCACTTTTTAGCTCCCGTGTGCCGTCCGCTCGGTGCCAGATCAGATCGCCCATTGTTAACCCCAGTAGCCGTGTCGAACCTTTTTTATTTCCGAACGGACTGGCCCCCCTGAAAGGTATGCGCCTGTTAAACGCCAACTGCTCCCGCTCCACCTCCCAGCGATTACTTGGCTCCGGGGTGACGCAGAAAGGTGACTTCCAGAAAGCTTGCGTCATATCCTTCCAGCGTTTACTACCCTCCTTCCAGTGTCTCAGCAGGGACTGATGAGCGTAGATTGTGTCCGGTCCCAGAGGCATCGCCGCCGCCTGCTCCGTCAGCCACTTCTTAACGGGGTTGTTTGCAGCATCATGCGGCCGACATTCTGCACCGCTATGCTGTCGAAACGCTTCTTGGGGCATATCATCCCCAGCCCTCCCTCTTCCCGGGGTGTGCAGACCAGCTCGTAGTTCCAGAGGACGAAGGCCTTTTCCTCCGTCGCCTCCCCTTCCGACACAAAATGGTGATAGATCCGTTTGATTTTTGTCCAGATCTCCTCCGGCGGCGGGTATATGTACGCCTGAAACATGAAGATAGGCGATATGTACCCGTTGATTATCGTGACCCTTGCTGACGTCGTTAAATGCTGAATTTCCCATTTGGCTAACTCTTTTCGCGCCCTGTCCAAAGCCTTCTCCCAGGACGGGAGTGGGTCGCCGTTCGGAGTGATCCAAACACCTAGCAGTCTCTCCGGTGCCGCCTTGTCTGCCCATTTGAACTGCAGGTCTGCCGGCGGAGGCTTCCCCCTGTTTTCCCCGAATGGAAAGACCACCGTCTTATCTTTGTTCACCTTCAGCCCTGATGCCTTCCCGAAATTTTCCAGCGCTTCAGCCGCTGCAGCCAGCTGCTCTTCCCCCTGCAGCAAGAGCGACGTGTCGTCGGCGTATCCCAGGTACGCCAGCTTCTCTGCACCTTCGTCTCCCACCCCCAGCCTTCGTTGCGCAATTTCTTGACAGAGCGGCTCTACCGCGCACAAGAAGAGGTACGGTGCTAGCGGACAGCCTTGACGCACCCCTCTTTCCACCGCGACCCTGTCTCCTGTCCACCTGTTGATGTGCAACCGTGTGCCTGCTCCTGTGTGCAGGCCCTCCGCCCAGGACACGAACTGCTCCGGAACCCCCATCCCTCGCAGCGTTCGGAAGAGGAAAGGCCTCGAGATGGAGTCAAAAGCCTTCTGAAAGTCAACCATCAGGAGGTACCAGTCCTTGCCGCCATTGGCACCCGCCTCGATAGCGTCCGCTACCACCGCAACGGCATCCGCCAGCCTCCGTCCAGGTAAAAAGCCCGCTTGATCTTCCGAGATCACCTCATGTAGAACTTTCTTTAACCTTGACGCCATTACTTTCGCTAACACCTTGTAAACCGTGCTTAGCAGCGTAATAGGCCTGTAATTCCCTAACTCCTCCTTGCTCCCCTTTTTGTGCAGCAGAATCGTAACCGCAGTTGAGACGTGGTAGCTCTGCCGTTCGCGTGAAGTTTTCTATGAACTGCATCAGCACCGGCCCAAGCAAGTCCCAGTTGTACTCGAACAGCTCCTTGGGAAGACCGTCGTGCCAGGCGACTTTCCCGGGGCCAGCTCGCGCACCGCTGCCCGAACTTCCTCCTCCGACCATGGTGCACTCAGGGCGCAGCGGCTTGCGTCGCACAGCGTCCGGCTCATAGCCAGCGGTCCCGTCCCGTGGGGGTCCGCTTCTCCGCCACCGCCGAAGGAGTTGCAATACTCCATCGCCGCCGCCAGGACTTCTCTTGCACCGGAGTGAGTGTTACCTTTGAAGTAAACGGCTTTCATCTCCGTTTTTGCCTTCCACACCTTTATCTTCCCGGACAGAAACCCGGTTGTCGTCTCCCCGTCTAGCTCCGCCTTCACCCCCAGCCACTCCTGCAGCTTCTCTTGGTGGCTCTTCTCATACGCTTTGAGCAGCTCCTCTTTTTTGAGCAGGATTGCACCCGTCCGTTGACAATTCGGGTTCTGTGACAGGCGCTGCCGGAAGACCCTCACTTCCTTCTCCAGGTGTTTCTTGGTTGCCCCGATTCTCTTCCTTTCCTACCTTGTGTACGCCCGCAGACACGCCGACAGCCTTGGTAACATCACCCCAAGGTTACCACCCGCGTCCTTGATCACCTTCTCCACCCGGCTCCTGACCCCTCTCTTTTTTGCCTGTACCGCTCTTAGCCGCCAGATTCCGGGACCACTCTCGACCGCCGCCGACGACTACAGCGCGACCACCACCGCACTCCAATGATCCGTCATCTTGTTTGTAATGTCCGCGTGCCGCACATCCACCAGCTTGCACAGCAACGATTGTGACACTAGCGCGCGGTCAATCCTGGTGCTCACACCCTTTGCCCTCATGTGGAAAGTGTACTCCCTCTTGCCAGGGTGCATAAAACGGAACGCATCAGTGAGCGAAGAGTTCGCCCAGTAGCTCATCAGCCTCCGGTTTTCCGCCGACGACCCCACACCTGTCGACTTGTCTAGCGCCGGGTCCTCCACCACGTTCATGTCTCCCATCACCATGACGTTCATCATTTTTGGTAAGGTACCCAGGAAAGGCCCCAGGCAGTCCTTGTAGAAAGGGGCCCTGATCTCCGGTTGCGCCGGCGAGTACAACGCAACAAGGAGCAGCTCTAGATCTCCCCAACGGACCACCACCCCCACCAATCTTCCTGATGCGTGTGTGTACGTGTGCGTGAAGCTCATCCCAGGCACAAAGCTCACCACAGCTACTCCTCCTGCCGACCCAGCTGGCCCCACGGCCACCACCGCGGACGGCTTCAGTTGAGTCCAGAAGTTATGGTCAGCCTGAATGCGCGTGTCTGTAAGTATCGCGACATCCACTTTGTTCCTTAGCCAGTCTTTGCACTTTTCCTGCTTCCCTGCACTGCCGAGCCCATTGATGTTGAGCTCGCAGAACCTGATCGAGTTCTTCTTATTCATCTAAAAACAGGTGAGAAGCCTTCGCATCCACGGGCTGGGAACTGATACAAATCTCCTGATACACGCGCGCCGCTGTCACCGGCCGCACCATAGAACTGCACAACATTGAAACTGCCACTACTGCTACCACGACTGAAACTGAAGCGAAAACTGAACTGCCATCCTCCTCCTCTGTACTCCTGCAGATGTGTACTCTCGGGACAGCGGCATCCAGGCGGTTACTTGGCGAACTCCTTGCGGAACGCTCCCAGGTTGAGAGCACCTTTGCTGGCGCGGGTAGCAGCACCCGGCTTCGTCAGGTTCGTCTTGTGACGGAGTGATGCGACGTGAGCCAATGCCTGCTCGAAGCTGGCACCCTGCGCTTTGTCGCAAGCGGCGACCACACACACCCAGTCCTCCCGCGACCCCCCTGTGGAGGTGAGAACGATAGCCGGGTCCTTGAGAATGTCTTTCGTTAATGCTGTGACTTTCAGCGATGCAGTTGCGAGGAGGGGTTTGAGCCGGGACGTCAGTAGAATTCGAAGGAAAAGACAGGAGCGGCAAAGGTGAGAAAAGCAAGACACTGATACCGTTGATCGCATGAACCTTTGCGACAGACAAGGTCTATTTGCCGATGCTGGATTGACGCTCCGTGACATAAGCGTTGTGATACTGCGTCAAATGCGGACCCTTGCGGTAACCGCAGGTGAGTACAGGATAATGAACCATCGGCTTCCTTCCGGGGTTTGACAGATCAGCAACCGCATGACGCCATGGGTCGTCGTCATTCTCATGCTCGATCAACAGACCACGTATTTTGTCAGTGTCAATACCGGTAACCGGGTCCTGCACTCTGTGGAAGCCCACGCCTTTGCTGAACGCAGGTTTGCCTTTCTTGAGCAGCACAACCTCCGTCAGCATCTTACGGACCAGCTCTGGAGAGACGCCAGCCGGAACATAATTCAACAGCACTTCCACCGCATCTGGGTTCTGCTGACGCTCCTTCCTGTAAGTCGCGTTCTCCGGGTGCTGCCAGTTAAGCGTCAGAGTAACCCCCTTCCCCACATCGTGCTCGATGGAGCGCCGCCAGACCGAAGCCGCATCACTCGCGTGCTGAAAGGTAACTTGAAGCCGACCGTATCGCTTCTTTGACAGCCACACCGGCAACATCTCCTGATACTTCGTGGTCGTCTGCGCGTCGGCCGTCAGCGAAGCCTTCCAGTGATCCAGGTGCGCAATGACCGTAGGCTTCAACTTCGGGACCTCACTCTCCCACTGAATAGGGATCAGAAGCGTAAGTGGGAAGCTGACTTGGGACGCGAGCAGGCTGACCGCAGTTGGGTCGAAGTCGTCCTCGTCGTCACTGTCCCAGCACTCATCCTCATCCACGTATTTGCTGCAACCTTCTGCCGTCGCCGCAGGTGCCATTGTCACAGGATTCGGCGATCCGCCAGCTGACGAGGTCGGTTGCGGTTGCTGCGTCTCATTACCCTCCTTATTGTCCTTAAGCTCGTTGTCCTTCAAAGCAGACAACCGCTCTTGCAGGGAGATTTTCGCCGCCTCTCCCAGCACATCGTTAACCGCCGTCGTGAGGGGAGCTTGGGGTGAAGCTTGCGTCAACAACAGAGGACTCGTCTCCGGAGAGTGCTCCGCGCTGGTCAAAGGGGTGTTGCCAGCAGTATCAATAACTTTTCCTCCAGTCTTTCCGCCACCCCGTCCGTTGCGTCGACCTCCCGCCATTGTGCAATGATGATAACGGAGGGACAGGCTTGAACAGAAGCTTGATAAGAAACCTCCTCTGAGCACGAATATGTGAACACCCTTGTTGCTGCCTTTGCTTATATAACTTGTTGCTTCCCGAACGAGTGCAATGCCTGAGCCTTGTGTAGTTGAGCCAAGTCCTAGGGTTGTTGACGATCTCGAGGAACAGGATAACAAAAACCGCAAATCTGGCGGATCAGGATCCAGTAACCAATCCACTTCAGGCTCTGTGAAACCAAGGCGCCATGGTACTACCGAGAAGCTTGATAAGGCATGAGCCTTGATAGTTCCTGCGACTAGGTAAGATTCACCAATGTTCACTGTATGAACACAAAAAAGGTATCCTCTTAAAGCGCTAGTCGAGCTGAACATTAAGGTCCGAAGAAATGTGCCATCAGGCTGGAAATTGGTAGACATTGGGCGTGCCGAAGTTAAAGCAGGAGCCATGGCGGAGAGCAGAACAATCAGGCGAATTTGACCCATCAGCCTGCGCCAGTGCCCCTCACCTGCGCCAGTGCCCCTCACCTGCGCCAGTGCCCCTCACCTGCGCCAGTGGCCCTCACCTGCGCCAGTGCCCCTCACCTGCGCCAGTGCCCCTCACCTGCGCCAGTGGCCCTCACCTGCGCCAGTGCCCCTCACCTGCGCCAGTGCCCCTCACCTGCGCCAGTGCCCCTCACCTGCGCCAGTGGCCCTCACCTGCGCCAGTGCCCCTCACCTGCGCCAGTGCCCTTCACCTGCGCCAGTGCCCCTCACCTGCGCCAGTGCCCCTCACCTGCGCCAGTGCCCCTCACCTGCGCCAGTGCCCCTCACCTGCGCCAGTGCCCCTCACCTGCGCCTGTGGCCCTCACCTGCGCCAGTGCCCCTCACCTGCGCCAGTGGCCGATGGAAGCGCCGAAGCCGTGCACCAACACCACGGCGGGCGCGTCCTCTCTCCCCCGCCACCCCTCCTCGCCGCTCTCCCCCGCGCCCTCGCCGCCGGCGCGGGGCGGAATGTCGCAGTAGTTGATGCTGGCGCCGCGCCACGTCCACCGCCGCTGGTGGGAGAGGATGAGCGCGAGACCCGCGGAGACACCATCGCCGCCGGGCACGCGCGCGCCGCCAGTGGCGGGGTCCGCCGAGTCACCCTCACGGGCGGCGGCGGCTGCAGCATCGGCGGCGGCCTGCGGGTCGCCGCCAATCAGAGCGGCCGTGCCGGCGGCGGCGAAGGCGCGCTGCTGCGACTCGCCTGGCGGACTGTCGCTTGCCGCGTCTGCGGGTCGTTCGCCATGCGACGCGCGTACGACAAGCTGCGACTGGCGACGAAGAAATGGTCGAGGCTGCAAGGGCCGCGTGGCGCACAGCGGTGCAGCGCAGGGGGCGGAATGGAAGGCGCGAAGCGGCGGTGCGAGAGAGAGAGAGGCCATGCGGAAGTCGACTGGGCGGTAGTGGCTGTGCTGGGATGTTGGAACGAAATGTGATGTGGGCACGGCGGAGTATCAACGAAATGGAGTAACCTGAGGCAAATTTTGGTTGGCGAAGTGGTTTGAACTAGTCGAGCAGAAGAATCACATGGTACACCTTCGCTATCTTTTTCGCGAGGTCCCCTGCCCCAACACGTTCTTTTTCGCGAGGTCCCCTGCCCAACACGTTCTTTTTCGCGAGGTCCCCTGCCCCAACACGTTTCTTTTGCCCTAATTTCCACACAGGCCTTCCCATCCCTCATGCTCATTCGATTGCCATCTGCCTGCCGCCCAACCTCACACCTCCATCCCTCACACCCACCCACCGCACGCGCTCCTCGCCGCCCCGATCTTCTCCGCGCGTCGGCCGCCTCACGCGCTGCATCGCGTCCCACCAATCCCCGTCCGCTCTCGCTCAACCTCCCACCGCTTGAGTCAGTAAGGCCCGTGGATAGATGGTCCAGAGTGAAGCGGTGGCTACGGAAAACTATTCGCTCGCCACTCCACTTTCCCCACTGATCGCGCTCTCCCTCCGCGCTCTCCCTCCGCGCTCTCCCTCCGCGCTCTCCCTCCGCGCTCTCCCTCCGCGCTCTCCCTCCGCGCTGTCTCTGCGCGCTCTCAGTGTGAGCGCCTGAAGCTGACACGAAGGGTCAGCACTCTCCTCGTCTGCTGACTCTCTCTCTTGCTGCCGCGCCGCGCCTCCCGCAGGCCTGTTTCGCCGACTGGAAGAGAGCAGCAGGTAGCGGAGGGGGCGGAGGGGGCGGATGGCGGTGCTGGTGGAGACGAGTGTGGGCGAGATGGTGATCGACCTGCACACGGACCTCTGCCCGCTCGCCACTAAGAACTTCCTCAAACTCGCCAAGTCAGTCGCGCTCGCGCCCTCCCCCTGCCAACCCAAAGCACCTCCCCTCCCCCCCGCCCTTCTCGCGTCGCCCCTCACATACCTTCACCGTTCAATGACGCGCGAAATGGATGAAGTGCCTCGAATTCTTTGCTACGACTCTTGCAACCTCCCTCCCGCCCCTGCCCTCGCAACTATCCCTCCAGAACCTCTGCTGTCACGCCGCGCCATGCCTATGCCCATCCTCCTCCCCCCCCCCAGGATGAAGTACTACCAGCACTGCCTCTTCCACCGCGTGCAGCGCGACTTCATCGTGCAGACGGGCGACCCCACCGCCACTGGCGCTGGTGGTGACTCCGTTTACAAGTGCGTGGGGGGGCTGGGGGTGTGTGGGGCGAGGGGTGTGAGGGGCGACGGGTGTGAGGGGCGAGGGGTGGCGATGGGTGTGTGGGGCGAGGGGTGTGTGGGGCGCTACGCTACCTAACGCGCGTCAAATGGGCCAATGTTTGATGGCGGCCAGACACGGCATGTGAAGTCAGACTGACGCAATCAGTTTAACCCAACCCATTCACAAAAATGACCGGAGTTGAGTACCATGCTCAAGTGTGGTGTGAGGGGCATGGGTTGGTGAGGTTGCTGCACCACAGCCGGTTGTCGTGCCACACCACACACCCACTCCCCTCCCTGCTGCGGTCCGTGCCCAAACCCCTATCCCCAACTCCTCCCCCCCCACCCACCCCCCCCCCTCTCCCCACCCGAATGGCAGGTTCCTGTACGGAGAGCAGGCGCGGTTCTTTGAGGATGAGATCCGGGCGGGGCTGAAGCACGACAAGGTGGGGGTGGTCGCCATGGCCAGCGGAGACAGCAACCTCAACGCCTCTCAGGTGACCCTCAACGCCTCTCAGGTGACCCTCAACGCCTCTCAGGTGACCCTCAACGCCTCTCAGGTGACCCTCAACGCCTCTCAGGTGACCCTCAACGCCTCTCAGGTGACCCTCAACGCCTCTCAGGTGACCCTCATCGCCTCTCAGGTGACCCTCAACGCCTCTCAGGTGACCCTCATCGCCTCTCAGGTGACCCTCATCGCCTCTCAGGTGACCCTCAACGCCTCTCAGGTGACCCTCAACGCCTCTCAGGTGACCCTCAACGCCTCTCAGGTGACCCTCATCGCCTCTCAGGTGACCCTCATCGCCTCTCAGGTGACCCTCAACGCCTCTCAGGTGACCCTCATCGCCTCTCAGGTGACCCTCAACGCCTCTCAGGTGACCCTCATCGCCTCTCAGGTGACCCTCAACGCCTCTCAGGTGACCCTCATCGCCTCTCAGGTGACCCTCATCGCCTCTCAGGTGACCCTCAACGCCTCTCAGGTGACCCTCAACGCCTCTCAGGTGACCCTCAACGCCTCTCAGGTGACCCTCATCGCCTCTCAGGTGACCCTCATCGGCTCTCAGGTGACCCTCAACGCCTCTCAGGTGACCCTCATCGCCTCTCAGGTGACCCTCATCGCCTCTCAGGTGACCCTCATCGCCTCTCAGGTGACCCTCAACGCCTCTCAGGTGACCCTCATCGCCTCTCAGGTGACCCTCAACGCCTCTCAGGTGACCCTCATCGCCTCTCAGGTGACCCTCAACGCCTCTCAGGTGACCCTCAACGCCTCTCAGGTGACCCTCATCGCCTCTCAGGTGACCCTCATCGGCTCTCAGGTGACCCTCAACGCCTCTCAGGTGACCCTCATCGCCTCTCAGGTGACCCTCATCGCCTCTCAGGTGACCCTCATCGCCTCTCAGGTGACCCTCAACGCCTCTCAGGTGACCCTCATCGCCTCTCAGGTGACCCTCAACGCCTCTCAGGTGACCCTCATCGCCTCTCAGGTGACCCTCATCGCCTCTCAGGTGACCCTCAACGCCTCTCAGGTGACCCTCATCGCCTCTCAGGTGACCCTCATCGCCTCTCAGGTGACCCTCAACGCCTCTCAGGTGACCCTCATCGCCTCTCAGGCGAGTTATCATTTTTCCCTACTGAATTCTGCAGGCCTGGTAGTCTCCGTTGGCCTCCACTTGCCACCATCCAGCACTTCTTACACCCCTCCCATGCACACGCACGCTCATAGGCACGTTGCTTAACCCACCTCTACATATCAGTGCAAAGAGGCTCAGTGCAAAGAGGCTCAGTGCAAAGAGGCTCAGTGCAAAGAGGCTCAGTGCAAAGAGGCTCAGTGCAAAGAGGCTCAGTGCAAAGAGGCTCAGAATCCAAGGCTCAGAATCCAAGGCTCAGAATCCAATCCAAGGTTCTCCCTGCAAATCAACCTCTCGCAGGCTAAATCCATGCTGGGCCCACATGCTTTCTTTTTATTTCTCGTGTTTGCCCCCAGCCCCGTTTCCCACATGCTGGGCCTGCACACAGGATTAGTGAGATCTCATCTCGTCTCATTATGATTCATTCTTGCATTTTCCATGCCCTCCTCTCCCACCCTCCTTCCGCTCTCCGCCCTCTTTTCTCCCTCCCCTTTTGGCGTCCCCTGCTGGCATCCCCTACCGCCCAGTTCTACATCACCACGCGGGCTGGGCTGGACTCACTCGATGGCAAGCACACGGTGAGACCATGACGCCAGCATATGCTGACACTCACTTGCTCACTCTCATCTGATTATCAAGATTAGTTATGCTTTTTTCTCCTCGCTGCCCAGCACTCGTTGCACCTGCATGGCACCACATGCATGGTCTCTCTGCATGGCAGGCATGGTACGGCATGCTTATGTGGCTCTGCCACGCCGCATCTCACTGCACTCTTGCATAACTTCTTCATCTCTCATGTGCATGGCACGGCACGGCATGGCACGCACGGCACGGCACGGCACGGCATGGCATGGCACGGCACGGCACGGTATGGCATGGCATGGCACGGCACGGCACGACATGGCACGGCACGGTATGGCATCAGATATTTGGCGAGGTGGCGGAGGGGTTGGACACGCTGCAGCGCATCAACGAGGCATTTGTGGACGACAAAGGCCGCCCCTTCAAGAACATCCGGTACGCCCCTTCAAGAACATCCGGTATGCCCCTTCAAGAACATCCGGTACGCCCCTTCAAGAACATCCGGTACGCCCCTTCAAGAACATCCGGTACGCCCCTTCAAGAACATCCGGTACGCCCCTTCAAGAACATCCGGTACGCCCCTTCAAGAACATCCGGTACGCCCCTTCAAGAACATCCGGTACGCCCCTTCAAGAACATCCGGTACGCCCCTTCAAGAACATCCGGTACGCCCCTTCAAGAACATCCGGTACGCCCCTTCAAGAACATCCGGTACGCCCCTTCAAGAACATCCGGTACGCGCCAGTTTCTCTGGGAATCCCGCTGATGGCCGTTGCAGGGCTGCTAGCATGCACACAGCTGATGGTTACAGGGCGCTACCATGCACACAGCTGATGGTTACAGGGCGCTACCATGCACACAGCTGATGGTTACAGGGCGCTACCATGCACACAGCTGATGGTTACAGGGCGCTACCATGCACACAGCTGATGGTTACAGGGCGCTACCATGCACACAGCTGATGGTTACAGGGCGCTACCATGCACACAGCTGATGGTTACAGGGCGCTACCATGCACACAGCTGATGGTTACAGGGCGCTACCATGCACACAGCTGATGGTTACAGGGCGCTACCATGCACACAGCTGATGGTTACAGGGCGCTACCATGCACACAGCTGATGGTTACAGGGCGCTACCATGCACACAGCTGATGGTTACAGGGCGCTACCATGCACACAGCTGATGGTTACAGGGCGCTACCATGCACACAGCTGATGGTTACAGGGCGCTACCATGCACACAGCTGATGGTTACAGGGCGCTACCATGCACACAGCTGATGGTTACAGGGCGCTACCATGCACACAGCTGATGGTTACAGGGCGCTACCATGCACACAGCTGATGGTTACAGGGCGCTACCATGCACACAGCTGATGGTTACAGGGCGCTACCATGCACACAGCTGATGGTTACAGGGCGCTACCATGCACACAGCTGATGGTTACAGGGCGCTACCATGCACACAGCTGATGGTTACAGGGCGCTACCATGCACACAGCTGATGGTTACAGGGCGCTACCATGCACACAGCTGATGGTTACAGGGCGCTACCATGCACACAGCTGGTCGTCTGTGCTGCGCCTCTGTGCTTCGTGACAACTCATGAGTCATCAGGTCCCCAATTGCCGCCTCTCCCCCGCCTCCTCCCCCACCAGCATACGCCGAGTGCACGTGTTGGACGACCCATTTGACGACCCACCCGGACTCGCTGACCTCATCCCCGATGCCTCCCCACCCATGCCGCCCCCCGCTGCTGTGAGCCCTTCCCCCCCTCCCTCCACACCAACCCCGCGTCCTTCCGCTGCTATGAGCCCTCCCTTCCTCCGCCTTCCCCCACTACCTCCGGGTGTTGTAAGCTGCCTGTTCATACACCTGCTCATGTCACTTGCCTGCTGCGCCATCTGTTGTGAATGCTCTGCTGAAACCACTTGTGCCGCTATTTTCACTTTGCTGACGTCAGTCCATTCCAAAATGTCAACGCGCTGGACCTTCTATCTGGCACTTCTCAGCCACCCTCACTTGTGTGCTGCTTTCCTTCCCTATCTTCTCCGCACCGCATCACGACTCCCCATTGTACACTCCGTCCTTACCACCCGCTCGTTCGCACTTCCTGCTTCTGTGCTGCTACCCAATTCCGTGCTTCCTCCCACCCCTGCCAGTGCCCGTGGGTGCGTTGTGCAGGGCTTGGACGTGAGTTTGGAGGGCGACTGGGTGCCCATGGGCGAGCAACTTATTCGTGTGCTGCTTTTGTTCCCCCCCGTATGCTGCACCCTCCACCAACTCCCAATTTGCCCGTGCGTGCGGCGGGCAGGGCGAGGACGTGCGGCTGGAGGACGACTGGGTGCCCATGGACGAGGGGCGGGCGGCGGACGAGGTGGAGCGCGACGTGCGCCGCAGAGAGGCACAGTCCAGAGGCGTGGTGCTGGAGATGGTGAGAGCGGTTGAGAGTGGTGCTGAAATGGTGAGAGTGGTGTCAGATTATCATCTTCATTGTAACCTGCATCTATCTCATCAGCTTAGGTTAGAGATAGACACCCAAATATAGTTTGGGTGTACAACTAGGGTTAACCATAGTTTGGGGTTGGAACCCAACCTTGGCCCAATTTTTTGGGGCCCCAATGCTGGGTTGGGAGATTATTGGCCCTCCAAATGATGTTGACCCACTTTGGTGAACATTATTGGTTCCCCCAATAACTCCTCAACCCAACTTATTGGTGGTGGTCAATCACGTTGGCAAGGTTCTCAACCAAACGTCCATCCTAGCTCAACTGTGTAAACCCACACATCTCCTATCAAACCATCGTTTCATCTTCAAGATTTGTCACAAGTGGTGCTGCGATGGAGTGGTGCTGAGATGGTAGAGTGGTCCTGAGATGGTTAGATTGGTGCTGAGATGGTAGAGTGGTGCTGAGATGGTAGAGTGGTGCTGAGATGGTAGAGTGGTGCTGAGATGGTAGAGTGGTGCTGAGATGGTAGAGTGGTGCTGAGATGGTAGAGTGGTGCTGAGATGGTAGAGTGGTGCTGAGATGGTAGAGTGGTGCTGAGATGGTGAGAGAGTGGGGGATGTGGTGGAATGCGAGGTGGCTTCTGTCCCTCACTAGGCTCACGCCATCCCTACCTTTCCCCTGCGGTGGTCCTCTCGCCTCACCCCACCAGATAGGCGATCTGCCCGAGGCGGAGTTCAAGCCGCCCGAGAATGTGCTCTTCATCTGCAAGCTCAACCCCGTCACCCAGGTGTGCTCCAGTCACTACTGACAATTCACTCTCACCCGTCACTTAGGTCGCCCACCCGTCACTCAGGTCGCCCACCCGTCACTCAGGTCACTCCTTTCTGGCATGTTCTGTCATATCTCCTTTCTCACTCTTTCCACTTGCTTCACATTTGCACATGTGCTGTGATGTATGCCATATGCATGGCATCACATGCATGGCATCGCATGTATGGCATCGCATGTATGCATGGGTGTAATCAATGTGGTGCATGGGCGCAGGACGACGACTTGGAGATCATCTTCTCTCGATTCGGCAAGGTCCTCTCGTGAGTTCCTCCCCTTCCTTCCACTCCTCTGCTCTTTCATGCCATTGCTTCGATTCGACACCTCGCCTGCTGGTTTTCCCTGCGTTGTTGGGTTGTTAAACAACTTGCGCTGCTGCAACCCATGTGACGCCGGGACACTCATGCATTGCGCTGCACTGCCAGAGCATCCCATTCACCACTGCTCCATTGTGCATCGCCGCTGTGCCTGCCCACCCCTCATTATCACATCCCACCCCCCCACATGGCACTGCACCGTGCAGGGCGGACATCATTCGAGACCAGAAGACGGGCGACAGCCTCTGCTACGGCTTCATTGGTGCGGGGCATAGTGATGGGGTGGTGATGGGGTGTGGTGATGGGGTGGTGATGGGGTGGTGATGGGGTGTGGTGATGGGGTGGTGATGGGGTGGTGATGGGGTGGTGATGGGGTGGTGATGGGGTGGTGATGGGGTGGTGGTGATGGGGCGGGATGATGGCTGATGGGGCTGATGGGGTATGATGGCGATGCTGTTGTATATGGACCGGCGATGAGGCAGTGCCTTGCCATCGGCGATGAGGCAGTGCCTTGCCATCGGCGATGAGGCAGTGCCTTGCCATCGGCGATGAGGCAGTGCCTTGCCATCGGCGATGAGGCAGTGCCTTGCCATCGGCGATGAGGCAGTGCCTTGCCATCGGCGATGAGGCAGTGCCTTGCCATCGGCGATGAGGCAGTGCCTTGCCATCGGCGATGAGGCAGTGCCTTGCCATCGGCGATGAGGCAGTGCCTTGCCATCGGCGATGAGGCAGTGCCTTGCCATCGGTGCCACTTCATCTCTCCCTCCCCCCCTCTCCTTTCTTCTCTCCCTTCAAAACCCCTCCTTCCCCTCCCTTCCCTCCCCCTTCTCCACTTCTGCCCCATTGTTACCTCTTCTCTTCCCTTCTTTTCCTTCCCCTCTTCCCCTCTTTTTTATTTCCCCCCTCCCTTCTTTGCCTCCCTCCCCCTCGCCCTCCGTGTCCTCCCTGCGTGCATGCAGAGTTTGAGACAAAGGAGGCGTGTGAGGCGGCTTACTTTAAGGTGAATGCACCGCCACTCCCTGCTTATTGCTCCGTGCTCATTGCTCCGTGCTCATTGCTCCGTGCTCATTGCTCCTTGCTTATTGCTCCTTGCTCATTGATCCGTGCTCGTTTCTCCGTGCTTATTGCTCCGTGCTTATTGCTCCGTGCTCATTGCTCCGTGCTCATTGCTCCTTGCTCATTGCTCCTTGCTCATTGATCCGTGCTCGTTTCTCCGTGCTTATTGCTCCGTGCTCATTGCTCCGTGCTCATTGCTCCTTGCTCATTGCTCCTTGCTCATTGATCCGTGCTCGTTTCTCCGTGCTTATTGCTCCGTGCTTATTGCTCCGTGCTCATTGCTCCGTGTTCATTGCTCCGTGCTCAATGCTCCGTGCTCATTGCTCCGTGCTCATTGCTCCGTGCTCATTGCTCCTTGCTCATTGCTCCATGCTCATTGATCCGTGCTCATTGCTCCGTGCTCATTGCTCCTTGCTCATTGATCCGTGCTCATTGCTCCGTGCTCATTGCTCCGTGCTCATTGCTCCATGCTCATTGCTCCGTGCTCATTGCTCCGTGCTCATTGCTCTGTGCTCATTGCTCCATGCTCATTGCTCCGTGCTCATTGCTCCGTGCTCATTGCTCTGTGCTCATTGCTCCTTGCTCATTGATCCGTGCTCATTGCTCCGTGCTCATTGCTCCTTGCTCATTGCTCCTTGCTCATTGATCCGTGCTCATTGCTCCGTGCTCATTGCTCCTTGCTCATTGCTTCGTGCTCATTGCTCCGTGCTCATTGCTCCGTGCTCATTGCTCCGTGTTCATCACACTTGCCCATTGCAACCTGATGATTGCAATTGTGCTCTCCACCATCTTTACCAGCAACAAACGTCTTATGGTCAACCCAGCGGAAGCGATCAAAGCCCCCACCCATACCCTTTCTTCCCCCACTCTGTGCCTTGCTCCTCTCCGCCACACGCCCACTGCCCCCACGGACTCCGCGGAGAGCAGATGGACGGGGTGCTGATAGATGATCGCCGCGTGCACGTGGACTTCAGCCAGAGCGTCGGTCGCCTCTGGTCGCGCTTTCGCCGCTTCGGCACCTCGGACTCCGCCCATGCTGCCGCTGATGCTGGCGCTGCTGGTGCTGCTGGTGGCAGGAGGGGAGGGAGAGGAGGAGGAAGGGGGAGGGTTGGTGGTGGTGGTCGCGGTGGCATGCGGTCGTGCTTTAGCTGTGGGGAGGATGGGCACATGGCGAGGGAGTCTCCGAATGCGGGAGGAGGGAGAGGTGGGATGGGTGGGGGCGGGGAGGAGGACGAGGAGGAGGCAGAGGGGGGGCAGGGCGGGCAGAGGCGGCTTGAGCTGAAGGAGTCGGGGCACGGGCAGCGGGGCGAGCAGGGCAAGAGGTGAGCAACACAAGATTTAAGACTAGGTGAGGCGAGCAAAGCAAGAATTGAGGCAGTGCATCAAGGAGGTGGCAGTTGATGCGTTGACCAGGCAGCAAGGGTGGCAGAAGCCAAGGTGGAGATGGGCGGTGCTGGGTGGAGGTGCAAGGCTGGGGCAGGTGCAGTGAGGTGGTGGAAGCTGGGTGCCTTCTCCACACACGCGTTGACAGTTGCACTGACTACTCCTTGCATCATTTGCTTTAGCATTCCCAGCAGCTCCGCCATGCTCGCTAATGCTCCTCCTCTGTACCACCCTCCCCTCTGTCCCTCCCACCCTCCTCTATGTCCCTCGCACCTTGGCCTGGCAGCTATGAGCTTGTGTTTGACGGGGACGAGGCGGGGGGTGGTAGGACAGAGGGAGAAGGGCGGAGGAGTGTGCATGCAGGGGTGGCGAAGAGGAGGGGGGAGGGCGAGGGAACGAAGCGTAGAGAAAGTGCTGCTGGCAGCGTGGATGTGGCTGCTCTCACTGCCGACGCCCTTGCTCGCGCCCGTGCGATTGCTGCTCGGGTGACTGCAGGGAGAGAGGAGCGAGGGGGTGGAGGAGAGGAAGGAGCTGCACGTGGTGCGAGTCCGAGGAGGGATGGAAAGAGAGAGAGGAAGAGGAGGTGGGATGCGGAAGGAGAGGGAGAGAGAGGAGCGAGCCGTGGTGGAGAGGCAGAAGAGGAGAGGGGGGGTGTGAGGAGGGAGAGGGATGCAGAGAAGGGAAGACAGCGGAAGGAGGACGAGAAGAGTGTGAAGGAAGCTGAGGAGGGAAGGAAGAAGTGGGAAAGGAGAGACGTAGAATTGGATAGAGAGCATGAGGAGGAGACGATGAGGGGGAGGAGAGGTGTCAAATCTGTGAGGGTGGACGATGGGAAGAGAGGGCGTGGCAGGGCTTCTGACAGCGAGGAGGAGGAGCATCGGGGACAAATGGAGGAGAGGCGAGGGAGGCCCGATGCAGGCAGTGGGGACAGGCGGCGTGGGCACGATGGGCATGGCAGAGAGGAGTACCGCTGGAGGGAGGAGGACCGTGAGAGAGGACGAGGGGTTGACAGGAAGAGGAGAGACGAAGAGGGAGGAATGAGAGTGAGGGGTGGAGAGGGGAGAAGAGGGAAGGATGAAGAGGAGCATGAGGAGGGAGGCAGAAGGGGAAGGCATAGTGGGTATTCAAGGGATGAAGTTGTGAGTCCAGCGAGGGAGAAGGGGAGGAGTGAGAGGAGGGAAGCAGGCGGGCATGAGTCGACAAAGTGGCGTGATAGTGAGCGGAGGTGCAGAGACGAGGACAGGGAGGTAAAAAGGAGCAGGGAGGAGAGCAGGGAGGAAAAATATACAAGGACAGAAGAGAGCTTTGAGGGGCGGAGGATCAGAGATGAGAGCAGGGACAGCATGAGGCACAGCAGGGAAGGGCATGGCATCCGGCATGAAGGCGAGAGGAGCGTGAGGGTGGATGATTGGGAGGATGTGCCCCGGGGGGTGAGACAAGAGAGGAGAGGTGGAATTGAAGAGAGCAAGGAGCGAGGGGATGGACGAGGAGGAAGGAGACAGGACAAGCGGGGTGAGGAAAGGAGAGCAAGGGGATGAGAAGTGAGACGTGAAAAGAAAGAGTGAGTGAAGATAGGAGTAGGCATTAAATTGGTGACACTGGTGTAGAGAGCGAGCAAGCAACGCGATTCAAAACTTTGCGAGGCTCCTAATGTGGTCAAGATATTTCAAAGACGTGCTTACCGTGGTGGATGACTCTTCTAGTCCTTCCTGAAGTGATGTATCTCAGTAACGGCATGCAACACATTTGGCTTGTGATGGTACGGTAGACTAATTCTCGCATCGCTATGAAAGCCCCCTGTAGGTATTGTAGTTCATATGGAGTTGGGGTGGGTGGCTTATTGGCTGCGGCCGGATGGAAGACATATCATAACTTAATCACATTCGTAAGAAGAAATGTGGATTACCGTAATCTCCCGGATATAAGACCCGGGGGACTTTCCTAAAATAGAGGCAAAATGACTAGGGTGAACATTTAATCGGCACGAGTTGTAAGAGTCCTGGGTAGGGTACACTTATTAATCAAGTACACTTATGCGATTTAGGGGTGTACACCCGAATTTGAAGGGGGGGGGGGGTCTTATGTTCGATTCGAACCGAAAAAGTCCGGCCATTTTCAGGTGCATGCAACTTAGCCTAGGAACGCTATTCAGGTGCATGCCAGGTTGCGTACACTTCTCTCAGGTTAAACAATGTCTCCCGTAAATTGTCACGCTTTTCAAGATTCGATTCAAATTGGCACAAAAGGTCTGAAATAGATGCAATTTCGGGCTACGCAAAATTGGAATCGGAATTGTTAGCTCTCGATGCTCCATTTTCTGACGTCACTCAGTGCAATGATTGCATTTTGTCCGATTTTGACGCAAATTTCTGCTTCGCACCAACTCTTTTTGAACGAATCTAATGCTAGATCAGTTGTACTGTTGACGCAGATGACGGACGCTGCGCATGGCAAATTAGCAAACCCTTCGTGAGTGTTTGTAAATTTTGCCTCGACCAAAATTAATGTTTGGCCGTACATGTATATTGAAATAGGTGGTATGTGTCAGAATCAACAAGGGTGATTGCACTAGGAAAGAGTTGGGTACAAGTAGGAAACCCTAAACTTACTGTACCCCATAGTAACTACCCCACTACAGCCTAAACAAACTGTAGAAGATATATAACATTTGACACACCCCCATAGGCAAAGTGGGGGAGAGCAAGGGGTCACAAGACCAGTCAAGAAAGGCAAAGCAAGCTCAGGGTGGATCACAACGTCACCATACACTCTGAGCACAAGCAAAGGGCCACAAGACCAGTTCACATGCAGAGGCATATATGCAACACAAACAGCACAGTGATCTCTACCTAGCAAAGCAAGCATGCAGGTATATATATAGATCACAGTACAAGCAAAGCCTACAGCAAGTGAGGAAAGGTGGGCGCAAGCCCTAGCATAGTGCAGAAACGCTGATGATCACCAGACTGAAGTGCCTTGGTGAATATATCAGCAGTGTTGGCTCGAGTGGCCACGTAACGCAGACGAAGCTGACCACGCTGCTGCAACTCTCGAGCCAGGAAGTAACGCAGAGCGATGTGCTTCGTTCTGTGCTCCAGTCTGTGCTCCTCACACAAGGCAATGGTAGCCTTGTTGTCGACGTACAGCACTGGAGGAGAACGAGGCCGCTCTCCCAAGTCAGTCAGCAGGTAGGTGAGCCAGCGTAACTCCTGTGCAGCCATGGCTGTGGCGTAGATCTCAGCCTCACAACTGGAGCTGAGAACTGAAGACGAGCGAGTAGAACGCCAAGAAACTGAACCAGAGCCAACGCTGAAGGTATAACCCTGTGACGACCGCTGAGTAGCCTGGTCGTCAACCTAAGAAGCGTCTGAGTGCCCAGTGAGAACAACTGAGCTCCTCCCTCCAAGCACGAGCCCCATGCCTGATGTAATGCACAAGTAGCGCAGTACCCTCTTAGCAGCATCTATGTGCACCTTTCGGTGCCGACCAGGAGCCACGTAGCGAGCCAGAAGGCCAAGAGGGTACGCTAGGTCAGGACGAGTGCAAGTCATCAGGTACATGAGGCAGCCAACTAGCTCTGGGTAAGGACCACTCGGCTCTACGGACTCGACCGAAGGTGGAGCTGAGAGCGAGTGACCTGTAGCCAGAAGAGTGGCCTGTGCCGAGGACCAGGTGACGCCGAAGCGCTGAAGGACCTGCTGCACCATGTGTGACTGAGTCAGTGTGATGGTGCGGCGTGCTCTGTCCTGGGTGATCTGCAAGCCAAGGTAGCTGCGCAGTTCACCCAGGTCTGTGCACGTGTGTCTCTTCTGCAGCTCCGACTTCACCAGGGCGAGAGCCTCAGTGTCAGCAGTGGCAAAGACCAAGTCGTCGACGTAGACGAGGATGTAGAACGGCGGCAGCGAAGTGTCGGTGCGCAGAAACAGTGACGGGTCAGCAGTAGAAGGCGCGAATCCAAGAGCCGCAAGTGTAGTCCTCAGTGTGTCGTGCCACTCACGTGGCGCCTGGCGGAGACCGTAGACCGGTCGCCGGAGGCTCCACTGGGTACCAGGAGGGAACGACCCAGTGAAGCCAGGAGGGCGACGCAGCCAGATCTCCTCGTGCAGGCTGCCCTGCAAGAAAGCTGTGCTGAAGTCAAGAGAGTGAAGCTCGTAGTCACGCTGAGCGGCAACGTGCAGTAGCACCCGAAGAGTGGTCATCTTCGGGGTGGGGGAGAAGGTCTGGAAGAAGTCTACCCCCTCTCGCTGACTGAAGCCTCGAGCAACGTAACGAGCCTTGAAGACAGGCGGAGAACCTGGCGGCCGCTTCACCCTGAAAATCCACATGCCACTGACGATGTTCGCCCCAGACGGGGGAACCTCGTCGACGTAAGTGCCAGTGGACTTCCAAGATGCCATCTCTGCATCCATGGCTGACTGCCACTGAGAGGAGTACTCACCCGCGATCGCCTCAGCGTAAGAGCGCGGGGTCGGGATGTCTGGTGCATCCGGGTCTCCCTCAGGTGCAATCAGCATGGACACGAGATGAGGTACAGCAGCGGCAAAGCACTTAAACTCCTCCTGCCTGTCCTCAAGGACGTCCGTGCCAAGAGCACACTCACCCCCGACGGACGGAGGACAGACAGACTCAGACTCAGCAACAAGACTGGCAGCGTAGTCTAGACGACAGTGAGTAGCAAAGTCGACAAGCTCAGCAACTAAGGCAGACACAGCAGCTGACTCAACGGAAGGGTAAGTGACAGCAGTGGCCAGGAGACGCGTGACAGTAGGACTAGCAGCACGAAGCGAGTCAGACTCCGGGTCAGCAAGGGCAGGAAGAGAGGACGCAGGAGGAGAAGGCAGAGGGACACGCTGTGGAGCATTGGAGAGACGAAGCGTCATCTGGTGAGTGCCTGAGACAGGAGGAGGACGCTGACGTGGGACACGACGACCAGTGCAAGCAGCACGAACAGGTGACGCAGAACGAGACTCAGGCAACACAGGACGAGACTCAAGCTCACGACGCTCCGTAAGACCTTCTGTCGGACCAGTGTAGGGAGAAGGACTAGGAAGTGGCGAGGCAGGCTGTAACTGTGACTGCGACTGGACAGGCGGAGGACACTCTAAGGAGGGAGCAGGACAAGGAGGAGGCGGCAGACCAAGAACCTGCTGAAGGAGCGGAACGAAGTACCGCCGCGGTCGTCAAGCGGCTGCAGAACCAGCAGAGACAGCACCAGAACCCCCAGGAGCAGCTCCAAATCCCGTAGCACCACCAGCAGCTCCAGCCGCACTGTTGACTTCAGCACCTACAGGAGGACGAGCGTCAGCACCTCCAGCTCCAGCCCCTGCAGCACCAACCCCAGGGTCAGCAGCTACACCAACTCCAGTAGGCCCAGCGGCCTCAGCTCCACCGACAGCTCCAGCAGCTCCAGCACCTCCAGCAGCTCCAGCACCAGCAGTACCTCCAGCAGCTCCAGCACCGGCAGCACCTCCAGTAGCACCAGCTCCAGCAGCTCCAGCTCCAGCTCCAGCAGAACCCCCAGTCCCAGCAGCTCCAGTACCGCCTGTACGAGCACCTCCAGGACCAGAGGCTCCAGTACCTCCAGCAGCACCAGGGCCTCTAGCGGGCGGCATCCCAGTACTAGGAGCGCCGCTCTGGAGGCTGCAGCGTCGAGCGTACCACTCACGCAGCCGCTGTGGGGAGGGAGGCTCCGGCCGCGACACAGAACCCGCAGCACCACCAGCTCCAACTCCGGCAGAACCCCCAGCTCCAGCAGCCCCACGCTGGAGGCTGCAACGCTGAGAGTACCACTCACGCAGCTGCTGCGAAGAGGGAGCGTCACCAGGCGCAGCACGGTCAGTCTCAGCTCCCCCAGGCTCAGCACCGCCAGTCTCAGCACCCCCAGGCTCAGCACCGCCAGTCTCAGCACCCCCAGGCTCAGCACCCTCAGTCTCAGCACCCCCAGGCTCAGCACCCCCAGTCTCAGGACCCCCAGACGCAGTACCTCGCGCAGGAACAGAGTCGACAGCTACCTCGACAGGCTCGACCGGGTCTACCTGGGAAACACCTGAGGGAGCAGGACCCTGGGGAAGGAGGGGGTCTACCGAAGCAGCACCTGGCGTGAGGAAGAGCGGCGGAGGGGGGAGCGGGGCAGTGCGGTAGGGGAACAGGTGGTAAATGGGTACCGACTCGTCAAAAGTGACGTCATGAGAGGGGAACACACGGCGCGAGGTGGGGTGGTAAAACTGCCAGCCAGGCGCGTCAGGGACAAAACCAAGGAAGACACAGGGAACGGCACGGGAGGAGAGCTTGTCCGCGGACGTATCGCGGACAAAGGCTCGACATCCCCAGACCCGGAACACCGACGCATCGCCAACCTTCCCCGTCCAACGCAGTGTGGGCGAGGTCTCCGGAGCAGAGACACGGGGCCAGAGGTTGAGCTGATGCGCAGCGTACTGCATTGCAAACGGCCACAGAAAATGGGGGGCAGCCGCATGGATCATGGAGGTACGAGCAACCTCCTAACTAAGCCAATGCGGCGCTCAGCAACCCCATTCTG